CTTAGCATATTCTTTTCCCACAACACATATCTAGTGGCTTGTTGTCTGTTCTTCTTACTTGTGGGAAAATAGGGATCTTCCAAGTATTGAATAATGAGTGACCTCCAATCCTCTATCTTAGGCTCTTCGGTCATTACATCTAAGCTGAATTATCTATCAAAGATAGAAGAGAGATTTTTCTTTTGCACTTCTAATTCTATCTCGAACCTTCTTTCTTAGATATGCACTTTAGTAACCAACTGAGCCATTTCATTGGCTATTGTATTTGATTCTCTGGGGATATAGCTGACTGAAATTTCATCACCCCAATATCTCAATAATTGCGTAGTCACCAAGTAATAATCAGCCATGGTAATGCGTCTGCATTTGTATTCTCCATTTAGCTGGTTGAATGCCAATTTTGAGTCGCCAAATACTTCAACCTCGATTGCCCCCAACTCTATCAGAATTTCTAAGCCAATTATCAGTGCCTCATATTCTGCTCGATTGTTGGTAATCTTTTGATAATCGAAGAGGAATGAATAACAATGGTGATAGCCTTTGGGATCGATGATGACAATCCCAGCTCTTGCAGTATTCTGAGTGCAAGATCCATCAAAATATAGTCTCCAAAGAGTGATCTAGAAGCTAGTTATTTTTTTTACTTCTTACTGGACCCATTCTTCCTTGCCCGAACAGGCTCCGTTTGGCGGAATCCATACACTTTCCACTTCTAGAGTTCCTGAGATGCTAACCATTTCCTCTTAAGACTCTTGATGCTCGGCTAAGAAGTCTGCAATTGTTTGCCCTTTGATTGCCCTTTGAGGCACATACTGAAAACTGAATTCGGATAGTGCCAGAATCCACTTTCCAATTCTTCCAGTCAACATTGGTTTTGACAGCATATATTTGATCACGTCAGTCTTGGCAATGATATGGATGTGGCAAGGCAACATGTAATGCCTTAACTTGCAAGCAATAAAGTAAAAAGCTAAACATAGTTTCTCCACTGAGATATATATTGTCTCTACCTCAGTAAGGATTCTACTGAGGTAGTATACGGCTTGTCCCTTTCCGCCTTCATTGTTTTGGGCTAGCAAGCTTCCAATTGATCTATCTGAGGCAGAGATATAAAGTTTTAACGGCTTTCCCCTCTGAGGTGGCATGAGTACCGGTGGATAGGCTAAGTAAGCCTTTATGCTGTCGAAAGCCTCTTGGTAAGGTGGGCCCCATTCAAACTTTTCTTTGTCCTTTAGCCTTAGTAGAAGAGTTAGCGGCTGAATCTTACCCGCTAAATTGGCAATGAATCTCCTTAAGAAGTTGATTTTTCCCAGTAGCTTTTGTAGTTGCACCTTATTGGTGGGGGGAGGTGTCTCCATGATTGCTCGAGCTTTGTTCTTGTCAACCTCCACTCCTCTTTGATGTACAAGGAATCCCAAAAAGTTGCCCAATCTTACTCCAAAAGCACACTTCTTTGGGTTCATTTTTAGCTTATGGATCCTCATTCATGTCAAGGCTTGTCTAAGATATTCATGTCAAGGCTTGTCTAAGATCCATCAAATGCTGCTCTTCAATTTTGGATTTTACCACGATGTCATCAATGTATACTTCCAAACTATGCCCGATTAAATCATGAAAAATGGCATTCATTGCTCTTTGATAAGTTGCATCGGCATTTTTGAGCCCGAATGGCATTACTAAATATTCATATGCTCATATATGGCTTGGGCACGTAAAAGTTGTTTTATGTATATCTTCTTTAGCCATTTTTATCTGATTGTATCCCGCATTCCCATCCATAAAAGATAGAACTTTGTGCTTGGCCACTACATCTATGGATAGGTCAGCCATGGGCATGGGGTATTCATCTTTAGACGTAGCTCCATTAATGTTTCTATAGTCAACACAACATCTAACTACCTTAGTTAAAGCTTTCAAAATAGGTACAATGTTGGCCAACCACTCAACATATTTAGCAGGCCTAATAAATCAGGCCTTTACCAGCCTTTCGATCTCTTCCTTGACCTTCTCTTCAATTTCTTTAGAGATCATCCGTGGTGCTTGTTTGACAGTTTTAAACCCCTCATTAATAGGCATTCTATGTTCTACCAAGGTTGAATCTAAACCTGGCATCTCAGTGTAATGCTAAGCGAAACAATATTTGAATTCATGTAGAAGGTTGACAATCCTTGCCCGATCCTCGGTTTCCAACAAACCACTGATCTGTATTGGTCTTGGATCCTTCTTAGTTCCCAAATCAATGGTCTCCAAGGGGTCTTGTACTTCTAGAGCTGGTTTGTCTGGTTCTGCACACAAAAGCTCAACCAGTTCTGGATTCTTAGGCAAATCCTCTGGTCCATCTAAGACATATATACATTCAGCCATTTGGATGTTTGTTTCTAACTTTTCCCCAAAAGACTCTACTTCTCTGTTCTGGCTACTTGAAGCCTCTCCGCTCCACTGTTCTTCTTCCATGGCTAAGTTCTCCCTTTCTTGTCTTTTCTTTCTCCTATACACCAACAGTTTTTCTATTAAGGACCTGACTTCAACCACCTGGTCATTCCTTTTCTATTCTGACATTAATGGTATTGAGGGTTTGGGATGATATAAGGTCGATCCCATTCTTCTCTTGTAAGGGATAACCCTTAGTCTATAAGTTTTTGGGCCATCACCTTAGTTGGGCGGCTGTTCTTATCAGCTCCTGAACACTAAAGAATCCCAGTACAGGGATCATAGAAGTTGGCTTCTGCGATGTTGGCTGTGGGTAAGAATGACTGTGATTCGGCCTCCACCATTTCCCAAAACCCAGGTCATGTTTCTCTGTCTTCATGGTAGATGGTCACTTGTTGATGTAAAGTAGATGGCACAGAGAGACTCTGGTGAATCCAATCTCTGCCCAGTATGTTCTCAAATTTCTCATTTATAACAATGAAAAACTTGTAATTCTCTAGTCCAATAGCTCTCCCTATCCCCATGATATCATTTTTGAGATTTTCTATGCAGCTATCATTTTCCTTTGCAATTCTTATATATAAGGTTCTTAGTGTTTTGTGTGAAAAATTATACTCTTGTATGTTCATTCATAATGTGAAATTTTGGTAAGTAATTATTCAAGAGTATAGAAGAATTAATATAATGGGCTCGAGAAGTTAGGAAAGTCAATAATTTTGTTATTGTGATGTTATGATTGTGGAATTGGGCAAGGAAGTTATTCTCTTTTTCCTAAGAGACAACTTTATAATTTAGATATAGCAAGGTTAGTTTAGGAATAATAGTGGGTGAGAAGATAGTATTTCAATATTTTAATTTTTTATGGTGGGTGAGATTATAACATGGGTGGGATAATAGGACAATGAGATGGGTTTAGCAGCTCTCTTGTTTAATTGATAGGATAAATGGCAAGTTTTAAAAGAATTAAGTACCTAAAACTCCCTAACCTTTTAGTGTCATTCCAAATTGATCTCAACTTTTTTGAACATTCCAAACAACTACCAACCTATTGAAAATGTCATATCAGTAAACCCCAGCTAAAAATCTGTTAAATAAACTAAGGTTTACTTTGTCTCCAAAATCAATAAAAGGTCATGAAAGCATAACCTCTACCAAATAACAGTCACCACTACCTCCATCAGGCCTTCAGCTTCCAAACTCAACGCAAAACAACCAACTCCATGCTACAACTCAAGCCTCCCAACATCAAGAAGAAAGTCATGGAGGTTGTTGAAATGATTCGACTTCCATGATGCGGCCACCAACCTCTTCACCACCACAAAGAAGAATTATAAGCTTTACAAGCCGAGAATCAACATATAATGAAAACACATAAGCAGAAACAATTTATTTGAAACACTATCTAAATTCTTACCTCTCCTTTTTAATTCATTCAATTGTGTTTGGTTTTTACAAAAGATTTAATAAAATATAAGTAACTATGGATTAGTTAAAGATACGTGGAAAGATTTTGAAGGGAAAAACTAAAATGGGTCATCTTAGATTAGAGGGTGAGCAAATTTTTTTTTTTTGAATAAATGATAATATCTACACTAAAATGATGAAGAAGTGGATTAAACTTTACAATAAGTTTGCCATAATAATATGGTTCAACTTTATTTTTGACAAGAATCGAATCTAAGACCTCTAACTTATAAATGAAAAGAAATACCACTAAATCGTAGTATTAATTGACTCTTTATTGCGCCACCTTAAAGTGTGAAATGTTTGTAAAAATTTAGTTGATTGGAAGAAACGTCAAAGAAAAAATATTTTAAAGTAGTGTAAACTAATTGAAATAAGTTGTCAAAAGAAGATCGAGAAATGTTACACGATCTCCAAAAGGAAATTTATATGTTCTTTATCGTTTTAGTTTAATTCCTCCAACCAAAGAATAACTGGGTTTCTTGATTTCTCACGCTTCTTTGATTCAATTTTCAAATTTTTATAGCTTCAACGTTTACCAATCCAATCTGTTCTATTATACCAGAATAAATATGTATTTTCTTATCTTCAACTTTTATCAAACATCGTTAGCGTGCACCAATTGTGTTTCATTGTGTGACATGTTATTCAAGCACAAAAATGATGTAACACGGAATTTGTACTCTTCAAATTTTATTCGAAATTCGTGACCCGAAAGTTCTTTTGCAGATGATGAGTGGTGATTTTCACTTGGGGGGAAAACACCCACAATTGCTACAATCTCACACGGCGATTAATCCTTAGACCACATACATAATCATTATTCTACGACTCCGGTACTAGGCAACTAATCATTATTCTAAGGACTCCGGTAGGCAAATGACCACCACAACGATTGATCCTTTGACAGATGGTGAGTTCGTGGCCTCCAAGCACAAACTGCTTTCAAGCATCCAACGTCGCGACTCTCATATAAATAAGACTAGATGCTCCTTCCTCTTAGAGATGCACAAACTCACCGCTTCTTTAGATTAACAAAATATATGAACCAAACGTGGACAAGCTTCGTGGCCTGTGTTTATATATTTATGTGTTTTATTTTATCATTTTGAAAGATAAAAGATAGCTTATTTATTCGAAAACTCAAACTCTACAAACTTACAAGAGGAGTATTGGAAGATCGATAACATCCTGAATAATTTCAAGATGATCCTCAAACAAAACTACGATTGAAAGAGAGAACATTGAGAAACGGTAAGCAAACCATTACAAATTCGAGGCACATAACGAAACAGACTTTCACCCAGACTTGAAGCAAGGCACTTGATGTCTCTTGCTTTCTAAGTTACAGCTCTTGCTTGGGCTGGCTATTCTTGAGCTTGGCAGGTTCGTCCTGATCTCCTCCTCCTCCTCCAGTGCTAGAGATGCTAATCACCCTAGGAGTAGCCTTGATTGTATGAGGAGACAACTTGGCCAGCGTCACAGTGAGAACCCCATTTTCCAACTTGGCCTCGACGGAGTCTAAATCTACGTTCTCCGGCAACCTAAACCGCCTCCAAAATTTTCCATAAGACCTCTCAACTCGGTGCCAGTGATCCCCTTTCTTGTCTTCTTCCTTCTTCCTCTCACCACTCACTCTCAGAACCCGGTTCTCCTCCACCTCGATTTTCAGGTCCTCCTTCTTGAGTCCCGGCACATCTAACATTATAACATGGCCGTCCGGCGTTTCTTTCCAGTCCACCTTTGCTGGTGAGAGTGCCAGCAGGGTGTCTTCTTTGTCAAGTTCAAACGGGAGCTGTTCTAGCACGCGGAAGGGGTCTGGAAAGCGCTCCGACCAGAGATCGACCAGAAAATTACTTCCTGGTCGATCCATGAACGGCAGCAAGGACCCATTGGATGACCTAGAAAGAAAAAGCAGAAAGCTCAAGGCGATGAGAATATTTCGACAAGGTTGTTTCCTCATTTCTCTAAATGGTTTATTTGTTTGCAGGAATGGATTGGTGTGTAGTGAAGAAGAAAAGATCGATATGGCAGTGTCTAGTGTCGGCTAGCTTTGTCAGGGTTTGGACACGTTTATCTGTGTATTTATATAGCATGGAGGTTGAAGATATGCATGGGATGGTTCTTGAAACTTCCAAAATATGCTAACTTTGTTTAGACCCATTTAGAGAAATCAGGAACGTTCCAGCTTCATCCTTCCTTTCTTTTTCTTTTTCTTTTTCTCCTTTCCTTTATTTATTATTGATTTATTTATTAAGTATTTACTTCACATACGATACAAGAAAAAAAAAACAAAAGTTTGTAGAGAATTTGTTTTGTTCCTATTTACACCCAATAGGAGATGCCAAATACTTATATTAACCAAATAAATAACTTAGTTCTTTTTTATGGGTCAAATAAATATCTTAGTTCAAATGGTAATTGACAACTAATAAAAGTAATTGACAACTAATAAAAGTAAAATGATAATTGACAATTAATAAAAGTAAAATGGTAATTGAAAACTAATGAAAGTAAAACGTCCCAAGTTTCACTCTCGACAAACTTACGATTTTTTATAATTAAATGAAAATGATTAAAGGTAAAAATTTGGGCCGGTCTGGGTAGCGCGCTCATAGGCTCGTGGGCTGGGCCAAGGTCTATATGTTTGACATAGTCGGCCTGGCCCATTTAAATCCTAAAGCTCAAAAGCCACTTGGTTAATTATTTGGAACATAACCCAAAAAAAAAAAAATTATTTATCTCTATTAATCTCTATCAATTAATGAAACTCTCTTTGTCAACCAAAAGAGGGTGAAAAGACTACTTAATCTTCTATCACACAAAAAAAAATGATGGGCAATAATGTAATTTCACAGGTCCAAATTTTACTATTTTTTATTGAAGCCTCACCTACAGGTGATGTTAAAATACCTCCAATATTAAAAAAAAAAAACCAAAAACAAAAACCTCACACTCCCCCGCGTTCTTTCTCTCTCCCTCTCACCTTCTCATTTTCTAAAAAAATGTGTTCATACACATAAATTGTGTAAGCAAATGTTAGTATATATAAAGAGAGGGAGCAAAAATAGTGAAACATTCATAATTCCAAAATTATTCTCTATATATATAAAGAGAGAAGGCAAAAATGGAATAATTCCAAAATTACCCTCCCCCATTAAATTTTGAGTGATGTTTATTCCCACCCCAATGTCTTATCTTCCCATCCACGTTTTAATGAATTTTTTAATTACAAATTTGTCCATTTGCAAAAAGACTGATAAGGACATTAATTATCTTGGTTTGCTTAATTTTAAAAATAAAAAAAAAGGTTGGGTGTGGGATACAATTTTTCTACCTTAAATCCTAACTCATATTTTCATCTCGTTTCAGAAAGTAAAAAAAATATCAAGGGACTTAGAAGATGACTTTTTCATTGAACAGGTGGAAGATGGCATTTCCACAGAAGAGGTAAAAGATTATGTTTCCATTGAAAAGGTAAAAAAATAATTTGTGTGTAAGTCATTCAATTTATCCATCGTATTTTAAATTTATCTTTGTCGAATTCTTTTGAATTTGGATACCTCTATCATTTCCATTTGAATTTGCAGACCTTAGTGGTTTTCATTTACATATTATGTGTTATGTTTTTTAAGAGACAATTTTATAATTTCATATGTATGTATATAATAAAGGTTATTTTGGGAATAATAGTAGGTGGGGAAATAACATTTTAATTTTTTTTTTACTTTTTAAAGTGGGTAGGATTATAACGTGGATAGGAAAATAAGACAATGAGGTGAGTCTAATAGCTCTCTAAATTTTTGAGATAAAAGAGATCTAGCCCAGCACAAGCTTATGACTCCTAGTCAAGTTTGATATCATCTAAAATACAAAAAATATATATATATATATATATATATATATATATATTTGAATTTACTGTTCTAACCGACGTTAGTCAAGTTTGATGTCATTTAAAATACAAAAAAAAAAATATTTGAATTTATTGTTCTAACCGACGTGAGTACATGTTAAATGGCAAAAATAAAAATAGTAATTATTACAAATTTATTGATCATTTACCTTCAGTTTGATATATACCTTTTCGTATATTGAAAGTTGTAGACATCGAAATTTCGGTAAATAAATGTTGACTGATAAATCAAAGTGTCAACGCTCATGTATTACATAAATTTTACACGTAACGTGTGACTCAACGAAAATTGAAATGAGTTGGAAAAGTCATCAAATAGGACACGTGTCAACACCTGGCAGAAATGACTTATTTCATCTGGGATATTATATTCAAAATTAGGCTTTGGAAAATTCTATAAATACAAGCCCATTTCATTCATTTGGGGAACCAATTCATATTACACCTTGAAGCTCTGAAGCTCTGAAACTCCGAAGCTCTCAAGCATCCAGGTTCCCGAAGAATCAAGAAACTGTTCTTCGTTCTTCGTTCATCGTTCTTCCAAGATCAAGCCTCGACGGCCCTTGGATCAACAATCATCCACCAATTCAAGATCAAGCCCCGACGGCCCTTGAAGAAAGTGTTCTTCGTTCTTCGTTCTTCCAAGATCAAGCCCCGACGGCCCTTGGATCAACCATCCACCAATTCAAGATCAAGCCCCGACGGCCCTTGAAGAAAGCACCATCGTTCATCATCCGTTCATCCAAGATCAAGCCCCAACGGCCCTTTGGATCAACAACGTCGACAAATCCACGCATCCAACCGTTCTTCAAGATCAAGCCCAAAAGCCCTTGAAGATCCGTTCATCACTGTTCTTCAAGATCAAGCCCAAAAGCCCTTGGAGATCCGTTCATCACTGTTCTTCAAAGATCAAGCCCAAAAGCCCCTTTGAAGATCCACTCAAATCCACCTTCAAGATCAAGTCCACGGCCCTTGAAGAACGTTCATCCTTAGATCAAGCCCAACGGCCCTTTGGATCAATCCACAAATACACACCTTACGGAGATCGAATCAGAGGATCAAAATAGAGAGAGATTGTAACCCAAAATCATCAAATACAAATATTTGTTTGTGCACGTTGTTCTTGTCTCTTTCGTTTCAGGAATTTTCCGTGTTCACAAAAGTAAATGAAGAAATGATTACTATCTAAGTTAGAGCTGTTAGAGCTTATTTAAATTGAAATTCTCGGATACACCTCTTTCAAATCTAGAGCTGTTTTAAAAACATTTTTAAAATGATTGAAAATTTTTGAGTTCTAAAAGCACTTGCATTTAGGAAATTATGTGTTACTTGCATGAAATATTTCAAATGATTTTTATGATTCAGTTACATTTTGTTATAAAAGTATTGTCAGTCAATTTAAAAGCAATTCTAAACACAATTTATGTACATTTTTCTTTGGGTAAATTACATAGTAGCCCCTCAGGTTTGAGGTTTATTGCAATCTTATACAACATCTTTAAAACATTTCACTTTCATACCTCAAGTACTATTTTATTTCAATTTCATACAACCGTTAGATTTTCCATCCATGGATCTGTTAAATGCTGACGTGGCTGCCACATATATGACACGTGGCTGCCAAATGTCTGCCACGTGGCAAATAAAATAAATTTTTAATTTTTTTTTTAAAAACCTGAAATTGGAAGAAGAAAAAAAAAAGGGACCGAACCCAGAAGAAGGAGGAAGAAGAAGAAAGAGGAGGAGGAGGAGGAGGAAGAAGAAGAAGAAGAAAAAAAAAAAAATAGGGACCAAACCCAGAAAAAGGAGGAAGAAGAAGAAGAGAAGAAGAAAGAGGAGGATGAGGAAAGAAGAAGAAGAAGAAAAAAAAAAAAAAAGGGACCGAACCCAGAAGAAGGAGGAAGAAGAAGAAGAGAAGAAGAAAGAGGAGGGAGGAGAAAGAAGAAGAAGAAGAAGAAAAAAAAAGAAAGGGGTCCGAACCCAGAAGAAGGAGGAAGAAGAAGAAAGAGGAGGAGGAGAAGGAGGAAGAAGAAGAAGAAGAAGAAGAAGAAAAAAAAAAAAAAAAGGGACCGAACCCAGAAGAAGAAGAAGAAGAAGAAGAAGAAGAAGAAGAAGAAGAAGAAAAAAAAAAAAAGAAAGGGACCGAACCCAGAAGAAGGAGGAAGAAGAAGAAGAGAAGAAGAAAGAGGAGGAGGAGGGAGAAGAAGAAGAATAAGAAGAAGAAGAAAAAAAAAAAAAAAAAAAAAAAAAAGGGGTCCGAACCCAGAAGAAGAAGAAAGAGAAAGAGAAGAAGAAGAAAGAGAAAAAAAAAAAGGGACGGAACCCAGAAGAAGAAGGAGGAAGAAGAAGAAGAGAAGAAGAAAAAGGAGAAGGAGGAGGAAGAAGAAGAAGAAGGAAAAAAAAAAAAAAAAAAGGGGTCTGAACCCAGAAGAAGAAGAAAGAGAGAAAAAAAAAAGTGGCAGATATGTTTTTTTTTTTTTTTAAATTAAAAAATTATTTTATTTGCCACTTGGCAGACATTTGGCAGCCACGTGGCAGACATTTGGCAGCTACGTGTCATATATGTGGCAGCCACGTCAACATTTAACAGATCCATGGATGGAAAATCTAACGGTTATATGAAATTGAAATAAAATAGTACTTGAGGTATGAAAGTGAAATATTTTAAAGATGTTGTATAAGATTGCAATATACCTCAAACCTGAGGGGCTACTATGTAATTTACCCTTTTTCTTTGTATGTAATTAAGTTTTTTACAACAAAATTTCACTATGCTTATCAAGATGATAGATTAAATTTTGTTTATTTTTACTAAATATAATAAACAATTCGCGTGTAAACGGTTGTAAACAAAAACGCATCCTGTAACTTGGTGAATATCAAATAACACAATTGGTAAATTTCAAGAACACATTCTGAAAGCCGGTGATTTTTTCTGTTTATGGCCTTTTTGAAGGCCTTTAATTAAAAAAAAATCCCCTTTTCGAAAAATCAGAAAATTGGAAATACAAAGAAACAAAACAAAATAGCAAAAATCACGCGGAGGGAAACACCCGCAATTGCCGCAACCTCCAGCTCCCACTGTGCGCGCCATAGCTGATTTAGGGTTAGGGTTTTCAATTCAGCCCCAAATTTCTCTGAAACCTTGAAA